AGACCTTCGCCAAGAAGCACCAGCTGAAGGTGCACCTGCTGACGCACAGCAGCAGCCAGGGCCAGCGGCCCTTCAAGTGCCCGCTGGGCGGCTGCGGCTGGACCTTCACCACGTCCTACAAGCTCAAGCGGCACCTGCAGTCGCACGACAAGCTGCGGCCCTTCGGCTGCCCGGCGCCCGGCTGCGGCAAGAGCTTCACCACCGTGTACAACCTCAAGGCGCACATGAAGGGCCACGAGCAGGAGAACTCCTTCAAGTGCGAGGTGTGCGAGGACAGCTTCCCCACGCAGGCCAAGCTGAGCGCCCACCAGCGCAGCCACTTCGAGCCCGAGCGGCCCTACCAGTGCGCCTTCTCGGGCTGCAAGAAGACCTTCATCACCGTCAGCGCGCTCTTCTCCCACAACCGCGCGCACTTCCGCGAGCAGGAGCTCTTCTCCTGCTCCTTCCCGGGCTGCAGCAAGCAGTACGACAAGGCCTGCCGCCTCAAGATCCACCTGCGCAGCCACACGGGCGAGCGGCCCTTCCTGTGCGACTTCGACGGCTGCGGCTGGAACTTCACCAGCATGTCCAAGCTGCTGCGCCACAAGCGCAAGCACGACGACGACCGCCGCTTCCTGTGCCCCGTGCAGGGCTGCGGCAAGTCCTTCACCCGCGCCGAGCACCTCAAGGGCCACAGCATCACCCACCTGGGCACCAAGCCCTTCGTGTGCCCCGTCGAGGGCTGCTCCGCCCGCTTCTCCGCGCGCAGCAGCCTCTACATCCACTCCAAGAAGCACCTGCAGGACGTGGACACCTGGAAGAGCCGCTGCCCCGTCTCCACCTGCAACAAGCTCTTCACCTCCAAGCACAGCATGAAGACCCACATGGCCAGAGGCACAACCTGGGCCAGGACCTGCTGGCGCAGCTGGAGGCCGCCACCGCCCTCACGCCCAGCAGCGAGCTGGCCAGCCAGGGCCACAGCGACCTCAGCGACGCCGAGCTGGTGTCCCTCTTCTCGGAGGTGCCCGGCGGGGGCGGCGGGGGCGGCCAGCACGGCTCCTCCGCCGCCGCGGTGCTGGACACGGCCCTGGTCAGCTCGGGCATCTTGACTATCGACGTGGCTTCCGTGAGCTCCACTCTGGCCGGCAGCCTCCCCGCCAGCGGAGGGAGCAGCGGCAGCGGCGGCGGCAGCGCCTCCTTGGGGCCGCCCGTGGACCCTCGCGCCCTGCTGGCCACCACCGACCTGCCTCAGAGCCTGGATACCTCTCTCTTCTTCGGGACGACGGCCACCGGCTTCCAGCACAGCCCCCTGGACATGGACGACGTGTCCGGCCCGGGCGCGGGGCCCCTGGGGTCGCTGGGCTCCCTGGCCATGAAGACCTGCGGCCAGGAGCCCCAGGCCCTGACGCCCAGCAGCAAGCTGACCGTGGACACCGACGCGCTGACGCCGTCCAGCACCCTCTGCGAGAGCAGCGTCTCCGAGCTGCTGACGCCCACCAAGGCCGACTGGGCCGTGCACCCCGACTCGGACTTCTTCGCGCAGGAGGAGGAGGACGACACCCAGTTCGGCTTCTCCCACCCCGCGGGCAGCCACGGCTGTCCCTGTCCGAAGGAGACGGATCTCATCACCGTGACTGGCGGCTCCTTCTTGGTATGAGCCCGCGCCCTTCATTCCTCGCCACGTGGCCGACGTTCGCGATGTTAAGGATGTTCTGGGCTAACGGTGTGACTGCGGCCCTTTCTCTGGGGCCTGAGAAAGAACGTGGCCCCGGGCGACGCCTTTGCAGGTGTCAGTTCTGACCTTGAATCTGGAACTGTCGAGTTGAGTGACCCTGAGCAAGTCACTCAACCTATCTGAGCCTTAATGTCCTTATTTATAAAATGAGGTGGTTTGAATAGATTGCTTCTGAGGTCCTTTGAGCTCTGTGATTCCTTGATAATATACTTCTTTTCATAAAAAAATGACATTTTCAGTAACGGTGTGGCATGTACTTTTTAAAAAAACATGCATAAAATACACAATTATATGAGCATCTATGTTTTTGGTGTCCAACTTCAGCAGTTAATTCATGAACAATTTTGTTTAATCTCTTCTTTAACCCTCTTGCAGTATTATTTCGGAGTAAATATCAGACATCACATCATTTTATGGTTGATTTCAACCGTTAATACTCAATATATAGTTCTATACGTTATGGGTTCTTTTAGGAAAAAACTACAATTCCATTATCATACTTAAAGTTAACAATAACTTCTTAATAGTAATAAATGTTCAGTCCGGGTTTCAATATCCAGTTTTTTCATAAATGCTAGGTTGTTTTAATATTTTGAATAATTAGAATACTATTAAGTCTCTTAAGTGTCGTCTTTATTCTTTTTTAAATTAAAATATTAACTTTTTATTTTTCAATTATATTTGTCATACAACATATTTCACTGTACAACATAGTTACCTGCCATTTATATAATTACAAAGTGATCACCCCCAGAAGTGTCTTGTTAATCTATATATTTCCCCCTTGCCTACTTTTCTTGCAGTTTTATTCCTTGAAAAATTGAGGTGGTTTTACATGTAGCATTTGCCACAGTCTTAAGTTTTGTTGATGACATCCCCCTGGTGTTAAGTTCCTCTTCCCTCTGTTTCCTTAACTTTATAGTTGGAGCTAGGGAGTTGGTCAGACTGGAAATATGACTTTTTGTGCAGGCATGTTTTATAGGCTGTGTTGTGCTCATTTATCAGTAGCACATAATGTCTGGTGTTAATTTCGAGATATCCACAGCTGCTGCTGTTCATTGCATTAATTCATGATTGTGCTTCTGAATATCATGAATTGTTCTTGTAGAGTTACTATTAGCGGAGGAAGATATGCTGTTTAAGGCATTTGTAAGAGATTAATAGAAATATTATTCAATGCCAAAATATTTTCTTAAGTAATGTTAGAACTAGCGAGAAGAAAAGATAACAAAAATATGTTGGCTGCCCTCACCGTTTATCTTTCTGACCTCTTTTGAAATGGGAGGCTTCCTTGTAGAAATGGCCAGCCAGGTCTTTGACATGAAATGGACCCAGGGTCAAATTTGTGATGGATAAGTGGCCTTGAATAAATTAGTGTCACAAAGCCTCAGTTTTCTAGCTGTCAAATGGTCATAGCAATGCGCACACATAGTTAACACACCTTAGACTTTTCCAGTTATATTAATATGTAAAGAAAAATATTTGTGTTGGTGTATTTTGATGAACTTATATAATCTTTTTTACCCTCTTATTCCTTCCTGCTATAAGGGAAAAATTGGAGTAATTTAGTCCTATTTATGTTCAGACAATAAGGTTTTTAAGAGTTAAGGTGAAGCAGGATAGGGAATCTATGTATTTCCTCCAATGAACAATCTCCTCCCCAGGAGTTTCTGTGGGGAAATGCTAGGAGACATTCCTCAGTTACTTCCACATCCCTCTCCATTAGATCAATTTGACACCATCTTCGCTCTGTTTCCAAAGTCAGACTTCACCGTGACTGTGGATCCTGCTGTTGCATGAGTCACTGAAAATGGAACACAGGGTTCCTCCTGTCTGGTCTGGAGAGCTCATTGTTTGCACTTGCCCAGAGTTGGAAGGAAAGATTGAATTTGAATATTGTGTAAATTGTCACCTTATGTGAGTATAGCATTTTGAATTTTTTTCTTATTTTTTTCTTTATTGATTAAGATATTACATATGTGTCCTTATCGCCCCATTGCCCCCCCCCCACTCATGCCCTCACCCCCCTGGTGTCTGTGTCCATTAGGCATTTTGAATTTTGTGGAACATCTTTACAACAGGTAAAGATGAAAAAGTCATAGTTGTTATTCAGAATGACCCTGTGTAGTAGGTTTGGCAAAAAGTCTGTGCTTTGGCTCATGTGACAGTTTAGCCAACTCACATTCAAAGTGGACTTTAGCCAGTGACTTACAGCTTTAAAAAAAATAAAAAATTCTTTTCACCTCCCCTTTCCCACCATCCAACTTTCATGATTCGTTCCTGTGTTATAATTAGCTGCTGTTTTCCACTTTAATTGGTTTATTACTTTCTGGTTTCTTCACACTCCACTCCTTTGCATGCACATTCCGGTTCTTGCCATGCTTTTCTTTTTTCTTCTTAAGCAGTTAGATCTCTTCCTGCCACTATCCCTCAGACATTTGCCTCACGGCCCATTTTCTGCCAATGATAACATTTGCTGAGTATACACTGCAGTTCTGTGTGTACAGTAAGAAGTTATTTTCTGAGCTTAGATAATAATTCATGTGTATGTGATGTGACGCAGATAATAGGAGATTATTTTCTATACTGTTCAGATGAGAAGTAAATTTCGGTTTCATTATTTCCATTTTTTAAACGTTTTTGCAAAGGGGTTCTGCTAATTAATACTTGCTCTAGTTTATTAGTCCAATAGTGTTTGCATGTGAATGTCTATGGGTGACAGTTATTGTAGCACTTTGGCAGTGCACTAAATATTTCCACTTTGAAATGTTTCTGTAGTGTGTGTGTTGGGTATACACACATATACTTTTACAGTGGTTGTATTCATTTATTGAAGAACAAACATTAGTCATACTTTTTGCTCAGAATTTCATTGTGTCTACTTACTCAATTATTTTCTCTTTGCTTTAGAAATATTTATATTCATAAAGTGCATTTCAAAAAATATTGTCAATCATTAAAACCTCTTAAATAGACCACTATTTTTCATGTCTTACAGATATGTGTGTTATGTATTAAAATGAACACACAAGTAGCAAACATTAAATAAATTATTTAAACATGAAAAGAACTTAATACTGTGACTTAATTTTTAATGTCTTAAACCAACTTCTTTCCAATAAAAAAATAATAATCTATATTTTTAATACTCCTTGCTGGAATTTTCAAAGGACAAATGTTGCTTTTTTCAAAACCTTTTATTTACTAGAGGCCCAGTGCACAAATTTGTGCATGGGTGGGGTCTTGAGGGGGGTGGGGGGTGAAGGGTGAAGGCCGGGACATGATTGGCCCTCCAGGTGGGCGGTGGTGCTGTCGGGATCATGCAGGTGGCACTGGTGCCTGGCCCGTTCTCCAGAGATTGGACCTGCAGGACTACTGAGGGAGTGAGTGGCTGCCACCAGGCTGGTGGGCCATGAGGACGGGTCAGTCAGCTGAGCGGCACTCCCCCTGTGGGAGTACACTGACCACCAGGGGGAGGCTCCTGCATTGAGTGTCTGCCCCCTGGTGGTCAGTGCGCATCATAGCGATCCGTCATTCCGGTCGTTTGGTCGCTTAGGCTTTTATATAAATAGATGAGCTCACAGTTTCACGGAGCAAATTTGTTCAAGTGATTTCTCTTTCAACATCATTTTCTAGAAAAATGGTGAAGCCTTTATAATTTCAGTGAAAGCAATTTAATTTCTGTTGGTGGTGGCATTTTAAATAATGGTACATGTTTTAATTTAATCCTATTTTCTTTCTCAGTTATTGATTTTTATTTTAAAATGGACACAAGACACTGTGGGGGTGGGGTAAGGGCATGTGCTGGGGGAGAGGGGAAGCCAGGGGAAGGTCAATGGGGGGAAAAAAGGAGACATGTACTACTATGTGTAATACTTTAAACAATAAAATAAAATTTTAAAAAATCTTGCCAATTGAAAACAATAACATGATGACTTAAAAAGAAGTCTGATTCTATGGGCTCTGTTGATCATAAGTTAAAAATATATTTGCCTTGGCTTTAATTTTACCAGGTAGTATAATTATTATAATACAACACTTGAGTAGAAAAACATGGAACATGGATAGATTATGAAATGTATTTGTCTCTGTGACCTAAACTCTTTTTTTAAATATATTTTTATTGATTTCAGAGAGTGACTATAGAAAACTTAGAATTATACATATTATCACAATTTTTTAAATTAAAAAATTGGGGCCTTGACTTATGACTGTCCCGACTAACGAGTTTTTTGAGATACCAGCTGTCTCTCGGCCGATTTTTTGCATTGAGTTGATAGAGTAATTTGAGTTAACGAGCTCGGTCTCGGAACGAATTAAACTCGTAAGTCAAGGCCCCACTGTACATATATTGCTCTTGCTTTATTTCTGTTGGCCAGCACCAATCTGGATGTTACATCACCTTTCTACTGTGCATTAAAATGAGCTTGGCAGTTTCTGCTGTCCATTAAGTGTGTTTTCTACTACTGATTTTCTTAACTGTGTTTTTATTGATTTCAGAGAGGAAGTGAGAAGGAAAGAGATAGAAACATCAATGATGAGAATCATTGATTGGCTGCCTCCTGCACTCCCTCCACTGGAGACTGAGCTTGAAACCCGGGCATGTGCCCTGACCTCCTAGTTCTTAGGTCGATGCTCAACCACTGAGCCATACTGGCAGGGCCATTATATTCTGTGTTAATTCCTGTAAGTGGAAAACCTTCGCATAAAAATATGACACGATACTCTCAAGCTTTAGCCTCTTCAGGGAACCTGTCTGAATGCTGGATTGACATCTGATGCCTGCCTCTACCTGGGGTAAACTGACTGACCCACTGTTACTCTTGTTAGCAATTTTTCAATCATCCCCAGCTTCACTGTAGATTTTACAAAACCCCTCTGCAAAGCTACTGTGGCAGGAAACATCCCCATTCAGCACACTCCTTCTCTACCAGTTAGTTCACAAACCACTTAATGGGGAAATAATTAGTTATTAAGGAGGAGTTGTAGCCTCACATTTACCCTGTCCAGGTGCTATTTGGACCTATATACCTTTTTCCCTGTTTCTGACCAGTCAATGGAGCCACGTTTGTATATCTTGGTAAGATAAAATGCTGCTAATTGTTTAGGAAACATATCATTTTAAATGTGAATCATTCCTTTTATCTTGCTAGAAGGATTTTTAACCCCTATGTTGATATTTGATCAAGTGGAAAAGACCTGTATTTCAATTTAGAACAGTGGTTCTCAACCTTGGCCGCACATTAGAATCACCTGGGAATCTTTTTAAAATCCTGATTTCTAGGCCTCATCCTCTGGAAATTCTGTTTCTTTGTTATGGGGTGGGGCCACAACATTAGTAACAAAGAAACAGAATTTCCGGAGGATGAGGCCCAGAAATCAGGATTTTAAAAAGATTCCCAGGTGATTCTAATGTGCAGCCAAGGTTGAGAAGCACTGATTTAGAACAACATGGTAAGGGAAAATTGATGGCTAAGAAAAACTGTTACATATGATCTTTATGAATATTTTAGAATGTGAATTGTCCTTTTCCCAATACCTTAAACAGAAAAGGGAAAAGTTCAAATATAAGAAAATTTGCTTCAGAGAGGAGAATATCTTGACAGTAATTAGGCTGCCAGCTTAATGCTGCAATGTGTCTTACTTCACTCTCAGGGCTAATTACATAGAGTCCAGTATTTTGAAGATTACTTCCTTTGTGAGTTCCTTGTCTTGACCTCATGTCAATGTTTAAAAATTGGAATGCTTTTTTTTAAAATACAGAATTTTATTTAGAAACTGCTTAAAGTAGAGGGAAAAAGCCCTGTCAAGAAAGACCAGGTGGAAAATGGGTTCCTAATAAAAAGGAATTTTAGGGCAACAAAAGTCTAAAGGCCACAAAAGAGAAATATCACCACTGTTATTTGAACAATGGCTAGTTACTTGCATTTTTGGCATTGTTAAGCACTGAATCGGGGTTTCTCTCTGAATTTCACACAGAGCATGCACTACACAACAATTTATTATAAGATATCTGCTTTCTACACACTTTTTAGGACAAACTACCACCATCAACAAATCAATACAATTACACCAGGGGCTGAACAAGCTCAGTAGTGGGTGACACACATTTTGCAGAATTCTGCCAAACAAAGGAACTTAATAGGCTGTAGGCAAAGCAAATGAGGGGTGTTAAGGAATGAAAATAGTTTAAATATTAATAATTCAGACATGGTACTGTGTTTTCTGCAAAAGAAAATCAACATTTAGTAACACGCTAACGAATTTTATCTCCAAAGAGATAAAATACTGGCAAAGTGTTCTGATAACAGGGGAGGGCTGTGGACAGCAGGTACCAAAACACCCAGCCTTGCAGATCTCAAGGTAGCGATGGCCTTCACTGATCACTCCCTTTGTCAGAAGGCCAAAAAGAACTTGCAGCATGATCACCTGCCTGCTGAACTTTCACTCTAAGCAGCAAACTTTAAGGAGCCAAACAGGAGTGCCCAGTGGGCAAGGGATGCAGAAAAACATGTTAAATGTAAACTTGAAAGACAGCAAAATGGGACACAAACCCCCATTCAAATCCCAGATGTGGGCAAGTCCCCAAAGTAGTTGTTAGATTTTAAAACTGAACACACCTCATTTCCCAAAGACACAACACACAGAAATTTCAGGGGTAACTGGAAAAATCATCAGAGAAATGCTCAATGAATATCAAGCTATTCAACTCAAATATCTCAGGGCTGAAACATACCCTCTATTCATTCAGCCAACAATGCCTCTTGCAGAGATGCAGTTGGTCAAGGACACCAAATGGCTTTAGAGAGCAACTTTTAAAAGTTCCTTCTGGGCCAAGGTTAGGCCTATGAAGATTCAAGCAGCTCTGCAAGGCCTGTGAACAGCAAGTTCTAAAGGTTCCAAGTTCTGGCCCTTCCTTCCCAGACACAAGGGCAACACACAAACTCCCTATCAGGTTACATTTTATATTTTGAAATATGCAAACGTAATTTAAATACTCTTAAGGCATTCATTTATTAAAACGTTCTCTGCCAAGATTTCACATTAGCTTAAAATTAAAATCAGTCTTTACATTTCACTACTGAGGTATCCACCTCAGCGTGTCACATAAAAACACCTTCTCCAGCAATCAGTGTTACCAGCGTCCATATGGTGAGCCCATGGTCAGCCTCTGTTCCCTAAGTGAACCAACTAGATCAGTGGTTCTCAACCTTCCTAATGCCGCAACCCTTTAATACAGTTCCTCATGTTGTGGTGACCCCCAACCATAAAATTATTTTCGTGGCTACTTCATAACTGTAATGTTGCTACTGTTATGAATCGTAATGTAAATATCTGATATGCAGGATGTATTTTCATTGTTACACATTGAACATAATTAAAATAGTGATTAATCACAAAAACAATATGTAATTATATATGTGTTTTCCGATGGTCTTAGGCGACTCCTGTGAAAGGGTCGTTCGACCCCCAAAGGGGTGGCGACCCACAGGTTGAGAACCGCTGAACTAGATGTTAATACTGCTCTGCTACAAGGTAAAAGCTCCTAACGCAAACTTATTGAAAAAAGAGTGAAACTTCTGCAAAGTGCACTTTAAGAAGAGGTACTTTTTGCTTATGGAAAGAAACCGGTGAGTCCTCTATAAAAGTAATAAAAGGGAGTACTTTACAGTTAAGCACATGATTTGGAGTGAAGAATTTGGATGTTGCTCTGCTGGCCCAAGCTGTTAATACTCTTCTTGTTCCTCCTGTGGGCCCCCTTCATCAGGTATCACAAAGCCTTCATCTGTGGCATAGAGAATGTCCACAGTCCTCTGCAATACAGGGTTGTTTTCCCCCTCGTTCTCCTGGCAAATCAATTTAATGTTCCTTAGCTTTCCAAAGTAGAAATCTCTTTCTTTCTCCAAGTCTTCGACAGTAAGTTTCAATACGTTGACCTGCTGCATCAGTTTAGCTGCTTCGTCGTCCCCATTGCTCACACCAGGATTCTTTCCACCACACCGGGGCCAGCCTGAGGGGTTGCAGTAGTTCTGTGTGTCGCAATGGGCCTCTGGGGGGCTGCACTGCTAG